GTAAGAAGAGATTGAGAGAGTAGATAAGGTAAGGGAACAACGTACCTGGAGATAGCTGCCCCCAACCACAGATTTCTCACCAATTGAGCTGATGTTGCATTTGATGACCGGTCATGACCTCGGTACCACCCACAACGCAATGCAGTGCCACCTTAGTCCAATGCCATATCAGCATGCTCTCATCACCAATCAAACATTCCGCTGTATCCCACAGCTAATAATGTTGTCAATAGCCTTCCGGTGCACCCCTCTCTACCCAGGGCGTGCACCTAGTGTAGCCTGACGTCACAAGTACCCACTGCGAAGAAGCATCATCAACGCACCAAGTCTGTATAACGCCAGCGTGCCAAAGGTWAGTGGCGATCAAACCAGCTCCGATACCAAATTGCAAGGAACATGAGTATGGAAGAAGCACAGAAATCCAGAATGCAAAATCACACTGAAGTCCAAGTATTCAAAGCCAAAGCAGATAGCACATGGAACCGAGCAACCATCCCATTGGGAATGATACAGAAGAATCGTGAGTCAATATCCATGCCCAACAGGGCAACACCAACAGCATAACCCAAATGTAGCTCTCTCTTGTGAATGGCGCCAGGCGCCCTATCTACTCTACAGCCTATCCTACAACTACAGCAATGAACCGCAACCAGACACAGTGATGATGTCAACACCAATGCAGACCTCCACCATCACCAGGTACGTGTCCTCTTCCCCACACTCTCCCTTGTTACCCACACAGTGTCCTTCACCTCCGAAGTACCACCTTCGCCCTCACCTCCCCTGCACCCTCATGCGGCCCAGGCTATGGCCGCCAGTGCCCTCTGTGCAGGCAGCGCCCTACCGCCTAGCACTGGCCTGCTTGCTCTTAGCGCAGCACTGCCTTGCACAGCGCAGCACACATGCATTCGAGCAGCGTGCCCGCAACTGCCAGCATTGGCCAAGATCCCTGCTGCCTCGCCCTGCTTGCCTATATGCCAATGCAGCATGTGGGCGGCCTCCCTTCAGCCTGCGACCGGGACCCAGAGGCTGAAGCCTTCCTGATACAGTTGGGCCCCGGAGCAATGSAGTTGTGCCTCTCTTCTCAAGGCCTGCGGCCAGATTCAGATAGTGGGCCGATTTTCCCTTTGGCATTTCRGCCTCTCTACCYAGCATGCATTGTCGGCCTCACRTTCGAGTGCCCAGGGCCTAACTAACTCAGAGGCCCTGGGCATTTCAGCATTTGCTGAAATCCGAGACTCGGTGCACTCCAACCAACTGGCGTGCTGCAACTGTATAGACCCCACTTCGTGAAATGTTGGCCGAGAGGGCTCTTGTTGATTTGCTGGCCCGCCTTCACTTAGGGCGGGCACTAGGCTTGCTGGGGCCTTAGCCCAGAACATGTACAACATGGCAAGGCCCCTACTTGAGGGCTCAATCCTCACACAACCCTGGGGGGGGGTAGGGTAGTTTTGTAAACTTAAAATGGTTTCCTGCCCAAACGGAAAGGGCCAAAGCATACGGCGAAACGGATTTCACGTCAAAGAAAAAATCTACAAAACGACAAAATCCAATAGGTTATTCTCGTATATTTCGGTATTAGATTCTCAATACATCAACGGCAGAGCTCCGCCCCACCATGCCACACGTGATAGAAAGCTCAACGTTGAGAAAACTCAACTTCGGCGGTGGGACTTCACCCCAGCACCCCTAGTTCCTGTATGGGTAGTTTCCCGAAAAAAAAAAAAAAAAAAAGTTATGGTGCTTCTCTTGGTCTTTCGGACTCTTTCCTCTTCTCTCGGCACATCTTGACCCCATGGGGAGTGGGGAAATGTTGCTGAAAACCAAAAAAATAAATATGTTTTCTCTCTCCTCCATTTGCATTTTTTTTTAGTTATTTATTTTTATTTATTTATTTATTTATTTTCACTTTATTTCTTTCCCTTCTCCCTCCCCTCCATCGTTGTTAATCGCTCTTCTTGATTAGGTTGCTGCTACTTCACCCTAATCTCTCCTAAGTCTGGTTAGGGTTTTCTAAGAGTCCTTCTAGGCTCTAGGGTTCTCCTAACCCCCTCTTCTATCGGCTCCTCCCGTCGGGCAGCCTGGACCCGAACGAATCATCTCTCTTCGACCAGCTTCGCACCACCCTCTCACGCGTGACCCGCTTGGAGCGAGCCAACTCACGACTACCCACTCCGCTTCCACGGTCCCCTCCCTCTCACTGGTGGTCCTTTTTCTCCACACAGCAGTCCATCTCTTTCCCTACCTGACTCTCCACCTCCAGCCATGTCTACCCCCCTCCCTCCAGCGTACATGGACGGGAGTACACCCAAGGAGATCGCGGCAGAGCCGTCCACCTCTAAGACGCCCGTTTATTCGGTGGCACAGACTCTAGCCCCTATGAACCTCGAGACCGTCCTCGCGACCCTCCTCGCGGCCCTCCTCGGAGTCCTCGCACCTATGCAAGCGCGCCTCGATACGCTTGCACACATAGAGACGCAACTCAATGCGTTCACCCTTGACGTCCACCGCCTCAAAGGTTCTCCTCATCGCTCCCCCCACCGCTCTCACACTCCATCCCCTAGCGGCTCCCAGTCCGGTTCTCCACGACTCCACAAACGGAGACGTGGTAGTTCCCCCTCCTCTACAGTTCAGGCCCAACACTCCCCCTCTACAGTGGCGAGTGTCGTTGCCACACAAACAGTCCCGTCTATTGTGGTCCCTCCATCGGCCCCCGCTGCCCCTGCTGCTTCGGCCAATGTTGTAGGTGTTGTTGCCCAACCACCCGTATCTGGCTAGACAGTCTCATCGACGCATCTCGGTGTTTCTTCTCAGTTACCCACACCGGTTGCGGCATTACGGTTCGGAGCTCTCCCTCCTCCTTCTATCTCCTCACTTCCACCTCAGGCCACCCTTTAGTTCGTTACTCCTCCACCTCCTAGGGTACCGTCTCCGACTCCTCCACCTCCGACCTTGCGCACCAACGAGTGGCTACGTTGCACGCCACCCTGACCCAGATCCAGGCGGAGATACTTACCTTGAGACAACCGCACCCCTTACAGGCTGCTCACCCTTCTTCTTTTCCACCTCCCCTTTCACCTCTATCATGCAGGCCCGTTTCCCTCCACCTTCTCCCCCTCCTCTACCGTCTTACCTTACCACTCCATCACAACTGCCCGTGGTCGTTGCCTTCACCTCGTCTGGTCTCGCCGCCAACGGCTACGCCCCACAACTGACACCCACTTGTACCCCTGCACCGGCCCCGACTTTTCCTGCTGTAGTGCAGACTGCTCAACCTCTCTCCCCTCGTTGTCAGCACAGCGGACTACGATGACACCCTCCACGTGTCGCATTGGTTGCAGATAGACACACTCATACTGACACTGACGACCTTCAGTCAGCAGTTATGGTACTCTTGTCACAACCAAATTGCAAGGCAGCCCTTCCAACACATGGGAGAGCTATTATTCCCACTACGTCCACACGGGTGAGGTCCCCACTTTCACGGAATTCACGGCCTTTCTTCAGGACCGCTTTGGCGCTCGGCATGATGCGATCGACGCCCTAGATCGAGTCACCCACACCCGATGATCTGGGTCCTCTGCATCGTCCAACTTGGAGCGTCACATCCAAGTGTTCCAAGATGCCTGCCTTACATGTGATGAGACATTCCTACTGGAGGTGACTCTCACTGACCGGTTTCTTGTTAACCTCCCGGAGGACTACCGCAAAGAGCTATGGGAGCAAACATTCTCCTCATGTGAGCAGGCCTCCGAGGCTACTCGTCGGTACCAAAGGATGCGTAGTCGTTTCTCCGCCACTCCATCCTCTTCATGAGGCGCCACCACCCAGTCTCGTTGTACGACTGGCGGTCGATCCTCGTTTGCTGGTCGTTTTTGCTGCCCAGCTCGACCCTCAGCTTCCTTCTCTCAACGCTACAATGAGCTCGAGTACGACGCCGACGCCTTGGCCAAGCTTGACCCTACCCTTGGGGACACTCCTGAGGTCCTCGAGCTTCGAGACGTCATCCAATATCACTTGGATGACAAGACTGTCTCCATGGCCGATCGCTTGCGGAAGACCAT